ATTTATATTCCTATATATGCATTTATATTATATATACCATATACGCTACGCAAAGCATCTCTAATAGTATTTGGATCATCAAACTGACGCAAACCAATTTTTCAAATATGTTTGTGTGTGTGTGTGAATTATAAATAAGCATCCACTACCACTACCTTCATTCACGATTCTGCTAGTTGCAGGCAGGATCATAGCAAAAGAAATATATTGAAGTGCTCCACTGCTTCTCTCCTCAAAAACAACACAAAGCTTCAAGTTTGATCGATCGGGCCTGGGAGTCAGCTGGCCCTAAGGGGGATACTCTTTCACCTCCCAGAATCATATTATACAATTCAAGATATGAACATTTCTGGGCTTAATTACGCTATGATGAACAGTGAGTTGAAAAGTATAGAAAAATAATAGGTTATTGAAGCATACATTAAATAAGGTTTGACTGAAAAAAAGAGGGTTAATAAATGGAAGGAAGGGCATAGCAAATAGCAAGATGGGAGATGTAGGTAGGCAGCGGCAGATGAAATGGATGGAGGACCATTCCTGCTTCTGCCAAATATTTAACCCACATTAACATTATGCTTCTAGCCACCTATATATACTTCTATTTATTACTTATTACTATTCTTCTACCCTCTCTCTCTCTCTGCCGTCTTCTTTAATTTATATTTATGATGTCACACTTATGTCTTATCCCCCTCATATATCATAACCTAATTAAACCTAATAAAACTAAATGAATCGCCATGTATCTCTGAACCCTTCTTCTTCTTTAATGCCTAGCTTCTTGCAATGAGGTTAGTTGGCAAGGACAGTCTTAAATATCGTTAAAGCAACAATTAAAATGAATCAATTAAGTCTCTATTAACCATAGAATGAAACTTATCTGGCTTCCCACCAAATGAATCCATCTCTCAATGATAAGCTAATAATATATAATCTAATCTACACCATTAATACTTCACATCATATATATTATGTTTTACCAGTCAAAGCTAGCTACCTCCTCTATCCAATACCCCAAATTAAAACCTCCGGAAGTATTAACTTCTGTAGATGCAGATCATGGAGAAATATTGAGGTTCAACTTAACAAGTTAGCTAGGGTTCAAGACTCAAAATATGTGACAGATAATGGAGAGATACTTCACATCATATATATTATGATATATCCATGCATGCAGTTGATTTTAACAAGTGACCGAAATCTTTGGCACCATAAAATCAATCTCCATAAGATCTGTAATGAAGGAGGTGGTGATGATGATGATGGTTGTTGTCATGTTTATTAAATAAATGATTATGACAAAGAGGGAATGTATATTTATATATTACTTTTATAAAGGTTATATTTAAACAAATTATTATATTGAAATTGGGTGGAGCCAAAGCAAGGAAGACCACAGGGTCCACACTGTACGCTGAAGACGAAACCGCAACCGAATCGAATTGACCTATCAATCCCCAATAACACCTTCATGAATAATTTTATCACATTGCTCCATTCTTTTCTTTTCTTTTCTTTTTTTTTACCAATTAATTTATAAAATTGACCCGCTTTGGTTTTCATTCAAGCACAAACAGTAACACCTTTTCGGTTCATAATTAATATAAATATAGAATTAAAACAGTCAGAGGATTTAATAATCTGTAGCTCTCAAGCAAAATATATAAGAATTTGAAATTTTTGGACAAACCCTCTCCCAACTTATCCTCAATTATATTATTATTTTACTAAATCAAAGTCAATATTAACCTCTCACGTATATACATGATATAATATAATATAATTCAGTATTTCTCACATGCACAAATGACTTTTTTTATCTCCAAGACTCCAACAGAAGATCCCATGGTTTTAGGGCATTTGACTTGACTTAAAATACAAAATGAAATTTGTCTGCATCTCTTTTCCCCTCTTCCCCAAACCAAGTTTTTTGTTTATTTAAAAATCACCGAAAGATATAATATTGTAATTCTCAAAAAAAAAATTTAATGTTTGATATAAAATAATAAATTGACTACTTTTTTCCACTCAGTTTAATAATACTTTCTCACCTATAGATTTTAAAAATACTACTTTAATACCCAAATTTATTTTTCGATAGCAAACATAGAACAAACTCATTCCAGACTATTAGGGCTTTTGAAGAAGGGATGCCGATGAGTCTTTTAATGGTGGAAGGTTGAATTTTGATGGTTGGGATTGATCAAAATTTGACTTAGGAAGAGCGGCTATACAAACCTTAATTGCTCGATTGTTGGCCATTGGCGAGGCCAGTGAGAGTCTGGTTTGAGAGGTTTTTATGAATAATGATTGGAGAAAAGAATGGTAATGGTGTAAGGTTACAACGATGCTAAAATAAAAAATAGAATATAAACTTAGATAATAAAGTAGTATTTTAAAAGTCTATGAGTGGATAAGTATTATTAAGAGGGGAAAAATCGTTTACTCTAAAATAATTTGGGATTGGGCATGGTCGTAGATATGCAATGCATAGAGACGGGTATGGCTTAAAGGTCCCGCAAGTCACAAGTTGAAGTTGATGGTTGAAAAGTAACGGAACTTAGATTTGATTTACATCCATCTTATTATACATTATTACTGATAACCCCACTCCATTCAGAAGATTCCACAATGTAGTTGTGGTGGACCTTCACCCTCACCATCACCACGTGTGTCTTCACCCTATTAATCCCATCTTTGAATGCAATTTAATATCATACACCTTATCACACTAAAAAGATTATATCTTTTCTTCATGGAGATGGAGGTGAATTGAAAAGGACGTGCTTGCTTAAGGATCAAGTTAGCTTTATACTATATATTATACAAATAAATAAATATTACTAAAAGATCGAGATTCGAATCCGTCCCCACAATTGGCTCTTTCTCCTTCAAATAGTCGTGCCCCTTCAATCTAAATCTTATATTTAATTAATATAATTCAAAAATATCTAAATACAACTTGATTCCCTTCAATTCTACCTTTTAATATAATCTCCATCAACGGTGGTGGACAATAAATTGGACCACTCTTACTTTCTCAATTAATATCTATTTATAACCCTTCAAACTTTGTTACCTTCAACATTAATTGTTGATTTTGATTTATCATTTTCGTTAATTTTTTTTAATTATTATAAAGTTATTGTGTTGCTTTCGCTGTTTCACCATATATGGCCATGTTTTAATTGAGTTTTGTCCAATTATTGGCCATTTTAGTTAATTATTTATTTATTTATTTATAAATGTGATTTAATTAACATTGAGGACATAACACCTCCACGTCAAAGGGTATTGTGTACGGACTGAGTTTCAGCCACAAAGTTTACTGTTAAATTAACCAACCACTCTGCAAATCAAATCTAAGTTAGGAGATCCAGACCGTTTGTTTCCAATTTAATTAAATTACATTTCCACCCTGCCGTCACGCATAATAATTATAATAATACGATTTTTTTATTATTATTTTTTTACCGTAATCAATCAATCCCAAGTAAAAATGTCTAATAAAAAAAGTAATTAATTGGTAAAATATTTTTCTTGCATTTAAAAAGTGCATGACTTCAAGTTAATGAATCCAAAAACTTAGTTTTGAAATCAACATCAACCTTCAATTCGTGGGCCAGTCCACCTCCCCAAAAAATGGATATTTTTTTTTTAATTATATATCATAAAATTAATAATGTTGGTAATAATACGACAAAAGTATTATTCCCGCCCTTTAATATTTCATCTATTATTTTCTATTTCCCTCACGCCTGCTTATAAATAGGAGTAGAATTACCTAATTATCACATCAATAATTGATTCCATTCTTATTAATTAAATAAGAAATAATAAATTAATTAATTAAAAAAAAAAAAAGATACCGGCGAACATATATATTTAGCAACAGCACACCATAATGGACTTACTTGAGTGGGTGACTTTACAGCCGATGTTAACTGGAGATTAAAAGTAGGGCTTGTAGCTTGTTGAAAAAAGAAAATTGTATGTTTCTTATAATAAAACAAGTAAAACGATTTTATATTTAAATTATAAAAATATTATTTAATATCAGACTAAATTCTGCTAGTGTATGAGTAAGATAATAGATATGGTCAATTCAATTGCATATATATATAAAATATAATTCCTGAAGGCAAGTAGTCTCAATCATGCTCCACAAATTATAAACAAAAAATTGATGTTCACAATTGTAAACCTTTCTTTATCTATTCAGTAAGCAGCATTATACTTGGTGAACCCACCATCTTCACGCCCACTCTTACTCATCACCTTAGTTTTAGTGACACTATACATTGCAATTGTACAGTCTCATTCAATGAATGTTAACTCCTCTTTAATGTCACTCTTTATTGGGAGTAGTTGAATTTATATTTACCAAATAATGTGAAAAAAATATATAGTTATTAATAAGATGTTAAAATTGCATTCAACATCGCACCATTTATATAGACTAAAAAGAAATTAATTATGACATAAGTGTACCCATTAATTAAGCATATCATATGCTCTCTCCACGAAGAAAAAAAAAATGTATTATTGGATAATGATAAACGATCAAATTTTGTTAATTATTCCGATAATGATACTTGCGTTGTTATTAATAAATTAGTAAAAAAGAAAAGAAAAAATATTAATTTTCCCAAAGTGAATTTAGGAGTAGAATTGTGAAAACAAGGTGCTCGGCTCTTGTCGGGAAGGATCTCTCTATTACACACCATGACACCACTATTTATTCATGCGTGTGGGACCCATATCGTCTGCCTCAATATTAACCTCCCCGTACTATTGCGGTTGACGGCGATTTTTCTAACTTATCTCTTTTCTATTCCTTCTCTCTCATCATGTATTTGACACGACAACAAAAACAATTTCAATTTAAACAAAAAAAAAAAAAAACCTTGAAAAACTACGCGTCCTTCCCAACACAACACAACCCAACCCCAAAACCCTAACATATACACACACAGGCTCTTTCTTTTTTCAAAGCTCCTTCTTTTTTCAAAAAAAATAAACACTTTATCATTCTTATTGCCTTTTGTCTCTAAATCTTTCACTCTTTGTTTTTTCAACTTTCTTCACTCTTCTCCGCTTACCACCACCCGATCTCTGCTTATAATGGGTGATAATCAGAAATCTGATCCAGGTGGCACCACCGTCTTCAGTAGCGACTCCAGCTGGACACTGGCTGAAACTGACACGGACAGCGTTAATTACTTGTTCACCACAGATAGAGACTCTTGTATTCTCAGCGAATTTGGCTGGAATCTTAATCCTCAGAATACACGCTCTGTGGCTGATGAGAGATCCGATTTCGCGGGAAACGACCTCGGGTATACTTTGCCGGAGACTGCTAGTAGCGCCGACTTACATGCTGGTCCGATAAATCCGGTAGCGTCTGCTGACGTGTCGACGTCCAATCCATCTGTGTCATCGAGCTCCAGCGAGGATCAGACGACGGAGAAGTCTACGGGCTCCGGCGTTAAACCGCCAGAGATACCGTGAGTGGGAAATGAATGAAATGAAATGACTAGTTTCGTAATTAAATTTTCTTTCAAGGGCAAATGACTTGTGTTTAGTGTGAAAATTTAAAAATTTTAATTATTTAAAAATTTTAAAAAAAGAAAAGGAAGAGAGAATGAAACACAGTATCAAATCCATGAATTGTAACCAATTCCTTTTGTTTTGCAGTGAGAGCTGTGTCCGTACAGTGTAGACAGTGTCAAAAATGTATGTTCATGCAAGTTGGGATTTGTTAACTGAGAGGCCAGTTTTGTAATTTTAACGAATGTGTTGGGTCGGGGCTGGTCTGGTGAAGAGAATTTTCATTAATTGAAAGTGTCTTCTTTTGTTAACTCCATGAACACCGCCGTTATTGCGGCACGAATGGCGTGCTCTTACCTTTTTTTTTTTTTTTTTTTCGGCTTTTGGGGAATATTTTTTGGGTCCAAATTATGTATACTTATTACTTAGATGCAATTTACAAAAAGGAAGTATATATTAGAAACGTTAATTCTAGATACTAGTGCTAAAGAAAGAGTGGCGACCGTATAAATTAGAGAGAATATCTTTATATTTTTTATTTATGAGATGCTTGTTTTCAAGTGTGCTTCTCTTGTTCTTCATTTAACCCCGCCCGCAGATATTTTTCCTTATCTTGAAGTGTAATTTATGTCTGTAATTTGTATGACATAATGCTTCTCTTAATGGGTTTTTCACAGTTACTTCTTTACGGTTCTTGATTTCTTGTATAGAGTCAGTCATTTATTTGTTTAACTCCTGAACTTATATAACTTTGTTACCAAGAAGATCATCTTCTCCGTCTATTTTCGCTTTTCTGATCTCAGGCTTATAAACTTGTTTCCTGGGAATATGTTCCTGTCACCGTTAGGCTTATATATTTATATATTTGTTTTTCCTTTAACGCTAGGTATTAGTTTGTAGCCTGTAACGATAACATCAGCAGTGGAAGGATAATCAGTTTTACGCTATGTATACATAGTTCATTAAGCATTCATTTCTTCAAACACTGAATGTATGATTCAATGATATCATTTTGTCCCGAGAACAAGCATGAAAAATGATTATAGCTAGCCTTTGTTGTAAATGCTTTTTATTTTATTTTTTTATATATTTCTGCAGTTGCCGATTGCAATATTAAACCTAGGTAGAAAAATTGACATGGTTTTCGTTGCTTTTGAATTTTATGATTGAGGGATTGCAATACTCTCCTCTTTTGCATTTTGGTTGCGGCAGAATATTGGAAAAATCTTCATGGTTCTAGGGAATAGTAGCAGTAGACAGCTACATGCGTACACTTGTTGTTGACCTTTTAACTAACTTCCGACTTATTAAATATTGGTCTCCGTTTATATGTTCTTTTCTCTTTTCTCTCTTTTGTCTTGATTTTGAAGTATTATCACAATTGTGAAGCTGAACCTTTTAACATTTCACATTAATTTATGCTCTTCCTTTACATTGTATATCAGATTTTCACAAAATTTTCATTCCTTGAGCCAACGTATGGACTATTTCTCAGCAATTTTTTTCCTCTAGTTTGAAAGAGAGTAATCACCAAAAGGGAACACCTCTCTTCATGTAAATATCTACATTCTTCATTGGTTTCATTGAGTTATTCCAAGAGAGCAATCTGTTATACATATCCTATGATCATTTTATGTAGTTGCAAATCCCATTAAGATGTTTCTTTTGTAGGAGATTCATGGCCTTCAGTTAATTATTTTCTTTGATATTTTAGATTTTTTTGTTATTTCATAATTATAGGTAAATTATTGTGCAGGAATAAGGTGAGAAAGAAAGGACAAAAGCGAATTCGGCAGCCACGGTTTGCATTTATGACTAAGAGCGAAGTGGATCATCTGGAAGATGGCTATAGATGGCGGAAATATGGACAGAAAGCTGTTAAAAATAGTCCATTCCCCAGGTCTGTTGTTAGCTCCCTTTTTAAAAGGAAACTGACATTTTCATGCTTTAAATTTAATACAAATCTTCTCTCTCCCGTCTTAAGGTTTATAGATGCAATTTTGTGATTTAACTCGCGAGTGATTGTCTGAGAGTTTTGCTTCATATCCTCTGCCCCCTTTTAACATATAGTGGGTGACTTTTTCATAGTTTCATTTTCTTTAACCTCCCAAATCCAAAAACTTCTCTTAGAATCAATAAATATCTAATTTTGAAAGAATTTATTATTATTATTTTTTTCTTTAGGATAGTGTTTTCAATGTTTTTGCTTTCTATGAAACAATTAATTAGATGAGAGTAATTCGGTTGATTTTTTTTTGAAAAATTATGCGGGTCAAAATTTTAGCCATCCCTGTTGGTTTAAGTCCTAATATTTTCCAACTTTATGTTAGATCTTTAATTTCAAATATTAGCTAAAAAAAAAAAAGTAACTATATGTCAACTAAGCTGTATAGATCAGCTGAAATATCCTTCACAATCTTTACTCATATGTTGTAGGAGCTATTATCGTTGTACAAATTGTAAATGCACTGTGAAGAAGAGGGTAGAACGCTCCTCCGATGATCCCACTATTGTAATTACAACTTATGAAGGTCAACACTGTCATCATACAGTTGGATTCCCTCGTGGTGGAGTCATTAATCATGAAGCTGGCTTTGCTGCCCATTTGACTCCTGCATTCTCACCTTATTATTATCCGGCAGTTCAGAATCAGATGCCACATGAAAGGCCCAGTATTGTACGGTCCCATCAAGATGAAGCAGGAGAACCGCCTGCCTTCCCAGACCCAACCCCACAGCTGCCCACTGATGAAGGACTGCTTGGGGATATTGTGCCTCCTGGAATGCGTAATAGATGAGACAGAAAACAATGGTACGTTTTATTTCACTTACTGAAGCTGAATTCTTAAAGTATGCATGTTAGAATGTCTGGAATGCTCTTGAAATCAACCCACTATTAGTTCCCTTAACATCATTCATTGAGTCAAGTCAACCCTTAGCACTTAAATTTTTAAATTTTGTTTACACACCTAGGTGATTAGAGATGTCAAAATTTCTCTTGTACAGCACGTCTGGGAACTGTGCAAATTCGACAATTAAGAAGTGATAGATTTGAAATGTGCGTACAAAATGTTACTCGATTGAGTTCGATCTCTAGGTTATTTATTGATCACTTAGAGGTCACAGAATTTCACTAGAAAGTCATGGAACTTGGTGGTTTGAATCTCAGATTGTAGAAGGCCTTTTGACATATAACCCCATCCCCACCAGCACGAAATATGAATATTTCCACTAACATTAGTCAATAGACATCTTAGAACGATTACTCTTGTTTATATGTGGTAGGCCAATCTCTTGCTTGTGATGTCCATGGCATACTAAATTGCTTCCCAGTGGCAAAACATCATTAATGCCGACAACTTGTATTTCCCATTGGCTGTAAACTTATCCGGCTACTATTGCTTCGGATTTGGCAGTTGACATGTGGACTCATTCTGCCCACTTCGTTATGTTTATCAAGTTTCCAAAAGCTTTTTGGGTAGCTAACTTTATGTAAGACTTCTAATAACCACTGGAATGCCTTCTAATGACGTGTTAGATGTCCTCTCCCGTAAGAAAAGATGCTCTAATAAAGTTTGATTTAAAATATCTTTTAATGTTGTGCTTCATAGCTCCTTGTAGGCCTGAAGTGGGATCTACATATTCAAGAAACTATAACCATTACATATATCTTAAGGTTAGTATTTGTGCAACAATTTGAACCTTTCATTGGGTCTGAAGTGGTTGGTACCTTGTCCTTTATTTTGGGTTGGGTAAAATTTTCAAAAAGAGACTACTCTTTGAGAAATCGAGTCACAACTCTTGGAAACTGACTAGATTTGATGCTTTAAGCAATTTACTACTTTCGAAACCAATTTCGTAGTGCATACTTTATGATCACTTGTGTTCATTAAAGTGTTTATCTTTTCTTTTTTTTAAGGAAAAAAAAAAAAAAAAGGAAAAGAAAACTGCTGGGCTTTTCATTTGGTTAACGCTGGTTAAAGCTGCTTTTGAATTGATGCATAAATGCTCATATGAATATTTAAACTTGTTTGAAATGAGAAAGCAATACCTTTTGGTGATTTGAATCTTTGCCAAACTCTAAAGTCTCTATTAATTTAGTTGTCTATAACGTACGTCCTCTGAGTATGTGATACGTTAACATGCCTAACGATAAAAGCAGGAAGAAATATCATCAGCATATGATTATTATTTTGAGTTATCGAAATGGCAGGCTTGGTAAAAGAGTTTAGGTTCATAACCCTGAAAACAAATACATACCATTTAATTAGTGAAGAAAAAGTTGAAGTTAAAAAGAAAGAAATATCTGGTTCTAAAGTGCAAGCTACACGCAATCTTTATAGAACAAAGATGAGGTGTGGTGAGGAATCTGACAGTTTATATATGCCTTGGTGAATTTGTTTGTGATGCTGGCTGTCTCTCTTTTCTTTTTCCTAATTTTTTATTCATATTTTTGTTTATAGTGTGTGTGAGGCTAATGTTGCGTATTCTCTCACGGTGCTCATGAATTATTATAAATATCTTGTTTATATTCAGTAGTTTGATATTAATATATAGTGTTTCTGAGAACAAAGGGATTCTTAATAAACTAATGCTTGTACAGGTACAGGTACAGGTACAGGGATGAGTGGTAGAGAAGGGAGAAAAAAAAAATATCTTACCTTGTTAGCAGGAGCGTGCCCATGTTGCTATCGATTTTGAAACTGGAAACCCTCCTCTTTATTGATATAAGTACCAGTTTGGTTTCGAGGTTGGCCTCTGGGATGGGAAGAGAGACATGTTATTTGATGATAATATATGTAAATATTGAAGATAGCTTTGGAAAGCTGTAACATAATTGGTGTAGCCAGTTTGATTAAATTCTAGAATGAGCAGATTATTGGAAGATTACTACTAACTTTGTTATGATTCTTATAACTAATTATTTTTAATCGATTTGAAAGGAATCCAGATCCTAGATAGAGTGCTTTTTTTGGTTTGGTTTTGGTTTATGTAGAGAGAGAGAGAGAGAGAGGAAGTATTTGTTCATGGTTTTCTTTCTTTCGTACGTGAAGGTGATGGGAAAATTGAATAAAATATTTGAAATGAAAATGTTGCGTGGATTTCAATGTTGCTTCAGAGTCAGGCAGAGGCAGTCAGTCAGCCGACATTACTTTTTCACCCCTCTTTTAACCTTTTCCCTCCAGACATAGTCGCTTTTTCTTTTTGACCTTTAACCTTTTCTTTAGGTCTACGTTATGCCCCCCTTTCACTTCAAAACAGTATTCACTTTACCGCATTTTTTTTGTCCTCATTTTATAAATCAATTAACTATTCCTTTTACGAATATAACAGTCTCTCTCAAATACTGCTTCACAAAGTAATTAGAAAATATCATTTGACGTTACATATAATTGATTGGTTAGTATCGTATAGGATAGGATAGTATAGTATAGTATAGTATAGTAGAGTAAAAGAGAAGTCATTGTCAAAATTAATGGGCGCCCGTGAACACAATGATGCCCCCTACCCTTTTCAGCCATGTGATGTGGTCTTGTTTTAATTTAAACTATCCTACACGTGTCTTTTTTTTTTTCTCACTCACGTCACGTACTCCACCTTCATCGCCACTCTCATCTCTGATAAAAGTCCCGCCTTATTCGGGTGATTTAATCGCCAATTCCTCGCCTCACAGTTAGGCCGTTAGTTAGCTTCACTTCCACTCACTTATTATTCTATTTATATTGATCGGGTGGTAGGTATGCATCTTAAAACTGATTTGTTGTTATATAAAATTTTAAATTGGTAAATACAAAAAATGGGTGGGTCTTCTTCTCAATGTATCATTTTCCTCGTAAATTAGTTATATATAAAAAGTTAGGCCGATTTTAGGGTGGCACGTCCTAATTTCATAAAGTTTGATTTGATGCAGATTTTGGAATGAGGAATATATTACGGTCTTCATTGTTTCTTTAAATTAGGTGTTACGCAATATCAAAAACAACTTTTTTTTTTTTTTTTTTAATGATTGAAGGTGTTCAGACCGATTTATGTTTATGTACACTTCAACTAATCCCTTAGAACTCTGGAATCATTAGTCAGGTGCGAACTTCAATGGCCACTACTATTTAGCAACCGTGGGAACTCGATCTCAAAAGACCAGATCATCTTTTTACTCTTTACTCTTAAGAGGACTCGAATTTGATAGACTATGTTAGATACTTCGCTTGTCTATTAAATATCAAGAACAACTATGCCACATAATTTACTCCCCCAAAACTAATATCTATTATCTATTTAATATAAATAGTTTGTATATTTTATCCTAAAAACGGAAGAAAAGATGAAAATAAAGGGTTTGCATAAATAATTGAACTTGGTTTGATTTTTGTTTGAAAAGAGAAATAAGATTGTTTTTAATTTAAAATTAAAAAATATATATATAAAATAAAGGAAGAGAGATACCAAAATGAAAGACCTATTAACATTTGCTTTTATATATATTTATAATATTTTAAAAATAATTTTACACATTAGTAATTATTTATTTGTATATAAGTATTCATAAAAATAAAGTTGGTAAATTAGTAACATAAATTGAAGTAGTATTGTGATTGTCATTATTAATTTATTCATAATTACGATGGAATTGATTTAAATGCGGATCATAAGATAAAAATAATGGGCCTAAATCAGAACAAAAGCCCATATCAATTGACTAAGAACTTGAATGAGAAACGTGGATGGCCCAAGACTTTAATTCTTTATCCACTTCTTGATTGATTGGATTCACTCATCAAAGGCCCAGGCCCAAAATAAGCTCTACCCTGATCCACTAAAACACAAAACAATACCAGTATTTGGAATTAATATAATTGGAAGAAAATAAAGAGCATAAAAGAGGAAATGAGTGTGAATGTGACATTATACAATAAAATAAAAAAGGTAAATTTACATTGAAATTTAATTGCAAAAATATTCCTTAGGGTTCTGAATTTCAAAGATGCCCCCTCTTCCTTAGATTCCCCACTATTAAAGTTGCAACTAGAAATGACAAGTATAAAAGCATTAATTCTTTTTTATTTATAGATGTCAGTTGTGAACATTGATTTAAATACCTTATTTTATCATATGAAAAAATAAATAGAAAACTATAATGAATTAATGATCCTATATTTGTTCTAACAATTTAAGACAAAAATATTAACTTACTGTAACCTACCCATTAAAATAACATAAGAGCCTGACCAGAAGGCCGGTCCCAGGTCCATGTAAACAGGCAGGCCGAAACATAAAAGCAACCCAATCATCTACACTCGAAATGCTGCATTATTATTATTATTATTATTTAGTCTGCACTTTTCAGATCCATAAATGGAAATTTTGATGGAAATAAAACTTTGCAATTAACCCTAAGGGGTTGACTTGACTGTAAATGAGGTTTACTAGGGTTCTTTGAGTTTCTGGGTTCAAACCTTAGGGTCACGTACCACAATAACATTCTGACTTATATAGTCCTTTAGGCTTTAGGGTGTTCAATGGATCATAAGTACAAGCTGGCCTAAACACTCGGTTACCAAAAAAAAAAAAAACACTTTGCAAAAGTTTTTAAATAGTGAAAAGGATGAATAGATGAGTCGGGTCAATCACCCATTGGGGAGTCTTGTTTATAGTTTTAGATAAGAGTAATATTACACCAACAATTATTTCTCACAAATTTTCTCTCATAACCCCGACGTACTAGTTTGTAATTAGTCAGCTTGCAATTAATTAGTAGGACCTACACAGAACCCATGTGAGACCTGTTGTAAACTATTATCACGTCAGGATTGTAAAAAAAGGTTTGTGAGAAATGGTTGTTAGTATAGTATTATTCTTTGTATAACTCTACCTGAAGCTTTCTTTGAAACTAAAATTGTATATATATATATATATATATATATATTATATAATGCCAGTTGACTTAAGCCTCCATCCATCTCTCTCTCTCTCTCTCTCTCTCTCTCCATGTGTGAGTGTCTATCACACACACTCAAAGTATAATACAATAAAATAAAAAAGCAAACATTAAAGAGAGCATAACAAGTTATGCGAGAAAAACAATGCATAAACAGTGAGATAAGTTATTTAGTTCAATGGTAGGTGACTTAACAACCACCATCAGTCACATTTGCTCTTCAATAATAAATAAATGAAAGTGAATCAAGTTTTGATTCCTCATAATGTCACAAAACTAATCTTTACTTGGAACTTAAGAGTTTCTCAACCACTCCTCAAATGATCTTCACTTCCCTTTCAATGCCAAGACACCTAAATACCTTTAAGACCTTANAGCATTAATTCTTTTTTATTTATAGATGTCAGTTGTGAACATTGATTTAAATACCTTATTTTATCATATGAAAAAATAAATAGAAAACTATAATGAATTAATGATCCTATATTTGTTCTAACAATTTAAGTCAAAAAATATTAACTTACTGTAACCTACCCATTAAAATAACATAAGAGCCTGACCAGAAGGCCGGTCCCAGGTCCATGTAAACAGGCAGGCCGAAACATAAAAACAACCCAATCATCTACACTCGAAATGCTGCATTATTATTATTATTATTTAGTCTGCACTTTTCAGATCCACAACTGGAAAGTTTTGATGGAAATAAAACTTTGCAATTAACCCTAAGGGGTTGACTTGACTGTAAATGAGGTTTACTAGAATTCTTGAGTTTCTGAGTTCAAACCTTAGGACCATGTACCATAATAACATTCTGACTTGTATGGTCCTATAGGCTTGTAGGGTGTTCAATGGATCCTAAGTACAAGTTGGCCTGGACAAAAAAGCTTTGCAAAAACGTTTAAATAGTGAAGAGGATGAACAGATAAGTCGGGTCAATCAATGTTGACCCATTGGGGAGTTTTGTTTATAGTTTTAGATAAGAGTAATACTACACCAATAACCATTTCTCACAATCCTAATGTGGCAACTCGTAATTGGTCAATTTGTAATTAATTAGTAGAACCCATGTGAGACTCGTTGTGAACTGACCAATTACGAACTGTCACGTCAGGGTTGTGAGAAATAGTTGTTAGTATAGTATTATTCTTTGTATAACTCTACTTGAAGCTTTCTTTGAAACTAAAATTGTATATATATAATGCCAGTTGACTTAAGCCTCCATCCATCTCTCTCTCTCTCTCCATGTGTGAGTGTCTCTCACACACACTCAAAGTATAATACAATAAAATAAAGAAGCAAACATAAAGGAGACCATAACAAGTTATGTGAGAAAAACAATGCATAAACAGTGAGATAAGTTATTTAGTTCAATGGTAGGTGACTTCACAACCACCATCAGTCACATTTCCTCTTCAATAATAAATAAATTAAAGTGAATCAAGTTTTGATTCCTCATAATGTCACAAAACTAATCTTTACTTGGAACTTAAGAGTTTCTCAACCACTCCTCAAATGATCTTCACTTCCCTTTCAATGCCAAGACACCTAAATACCTTTAAGACCTTATTGGATCGTCTTTCTCTGCCAAATAAACTTCTCTTTTTCTTTTTTTTTTAATAAAAAAAATAAGACCTGGGGTTGACCTTAAATGATGAATTATTCTATGGTAGAGAGCAGTGATAATAATTGGAGCATGTGAGGTATGTTGTGTAAAATGAGAACCCTTTTTCATGTAAAGAAAGGATCGCATTAAAAATCAGCAGATGCATTTACTCAACAGTATGTTAATAAGTTCTCTCTCTGAATTACAAATCCTTTGGCTTTGCCTTACAAATGGCTGTGCATGCATAACTGTAGTAAATGTAAAAACAGAGTTTGCCTTTGGCTTTCGCATGTAAATTTGTAAAAAGGAAGCTTCTCTCCTAATCCATAAAAATGCACGCTTTTTAGTATTTCCCATAAAGCAAGGTTTAGGTGGTCCCAGATTCTTCTAGTAAAAAACTGGAAATTCCTTCAAGTTTTTATCATAGATTATACATTAATATTTTCATTACTTGTATAAAGGATTTCAGTTAATTAGGACTGGTATAAAACTAAGTTTGTGTTAACAGAAGACCATTGGTACTTACTGACAAAGACAACTGATATCCAATGGCTTCATATATAAGATAAGGCGATTCTGATGTCTATGTTAAACCAGAAATTTGTTTAAGTTAGCTTGTGAGTTTAAATATGCAAGAAGAAAAACAAATTAACATCAATGTTTTAAGATGAAACACATAAGTAAGTACATCAAGGTTTTGCAATTAAATATGAAGATAATTTTGTAAGGGCTCTCCTTAAAGTCCATAAGCAACAAATAAACATTTTATACCTCTAAATCCATATCCTTGAATGTGAAGCAAAAGGAAAACACAAAAAGCATTCACCAACCTGTCCTGTTTGTACACTCTAAGCCTCTCTTCCATCTTCTTCATCATCATCAAACTATGCTAAAAACTTCTGAATTAGAGATCAAAACCCACCACCGGCAGCAACTCATGCTTCTGTTACTTCCAACCAAACCAAACCGAACCTACCACTGAGCGAACCCTGCTTCGGCAATTGCCTCTTCCTCCATTGGAGCAGGAAGATTAAGATCAATTAGACCATGCATTTCATTTAACTGTTGCTTAAGTACCACGGTTCTATCTTCACTTCCTCCAACAAAATGGGACCTCTTGTGACCTCCTAAAGCTTGGCCAGACTTGAACACCCTGAAGCAGAATGGACATTCGTGGCCCTTACTTTTCTTGGATCCCAATCTTTTCTCAACACTGCAGGACACACTCTGCTCAATTGGGTTTTTGCCATTGCAAGACTTGGAAACTTTATTATTATTATTATTAGGAAAAGAATCCGTCTCTAATCTGTTTTCGCCGCTCTCGTTTATTGATTCGCAGCAGCCATTCATCTTACTATGGCTGGCTGTGTGTCCCCAAAGAGACCGATGTGAATGGAAGACCTTGTTACAGGTCAAACACTCGAATTGGCTTCTCTTCTGAGCGTTGTTGCTGAAAATTTCAGGACTTGAAGAATCATTCTTAGCTCTCTTTCTTGAATCATGTTTAGTTGAAGCCCTGTGTACTTGAGCATAATCTTCTTTTTTGGTCAAATCCTTCCCAAACTCAGTTCTCTTGTTAGAACTTTTCCCCAATTTTACACCACACTCCTCAAATCGAGATTCGTATTCCTCTCTAGACTTCTTGAATTCACCATTCCTGATAAACCCATCAACAGAAGCATCAGATTCAACCTTCTTGGGTCCATTTCTAAAATACCCAGAATCAGAATTATCAGAAACATCAATTTCAGCAGATTTAGACTTGCCGTCTCTTTCTTTCTTCATTACCACAAACTCATTACAATTCGAGACACAATTCAGACCATTCTTCCCAGAAATTTTCATATCAATAGACGATGATTTAGCTTCCAAAACCACTGAATTGTTATCAGAAGAATCAGCAAAAGAATTCAAGCCCTTTTTATAACTAGAATCCCTGGACAACATCATCAAACACATAGCCACCTCTTCCTGTTCGTGCTCTATCCCTGAAACAGCTGAAGAACCATTTGCAATATCAAAAGAAGAAGAATTATAAACATCAGTACTCTTGTAACCAAGTCTCTTGGATCTCCTTAGCCTACTTGGAGCGGATGTTTCAGTATCTGATTCACTATCCATTATAAGTTTTTGCTTCAAATCATGACTACCCTCTATATGATCTTCGAAACCGGTTTTAAACTTCTCAGAATGACAAGCCATGTGACCACAAAGAGCTTTCAGAGATTGAAATCCTTTACCACATTCTTTACAGACCATTTCTTGCTGTAAAGTAAGTGTGCTTGAATCCGCAAACCTCTTTGTTCTCTTTGGATTCTCTCTAAGAACATAACCAGATTGTCCACCAGCTTCGAGCCCCGGCTCCTTTTTAGTGCTTCTTCCATAGAGAATCTTGTCTATGTCGAGCTTAGCCACACCTTCTTCCGCTGCAGCTGAATTGCCGCCATTATTATTCATGTGAGTTCTGATGTGACCGCCCAAGGACTTGCCACACGGATATCTCTTGTGGCAAAACTTGCAGATGAACTTCTTCTTTTGATTTGCTTCCATTTGTTGATCTGATTGTGATCACTAAAAACTAAAAAATACCCAGTAAACAAAACGAGATCAGTAACTCATAGTTTACCTTAAATCTTCAAGAATGCTGCATTCATCATATTAAGCAAGGTGATGAAGAAACAGAGAATCAAATCCAGATCGAAAAGCAAACAAAATGGTCCACCCAGTTTGCTTCTTGTTTTCTTAACTACTGATTGATCAGGAGACGATCAACTACCATGGTGTTGAGATGTGACAGTTTTTTATTTGTGCAAGTACGAGATCCGACCCATGAAAAAGAGACCCCTTGAATCCCATTTGTTCAAGTACACATATACATAGCATAAACCACTCTTGAATATTAAAAAATCAATGGAGTTTCAAAAAAAAAAAAAAAAAAAATGAAATTTCAAAGAGACGGTCCGCCAATGATGGCGATGAAGGGGCATATGAAGAGAAGAATCAAAGCAAAAACCATGACTCTTTCTCTTTCTCTCTCTCTCTCTTCTTTGTTTTGTTTTGTGTTGTAGTTGGAGGAGAATTCCATGCATGGAAGCAAAAGATTAAAAAGGGAAGAAAAGATAGGCAGCACGTGTACTCAAATGAGGACCCTTCGGTGTTGAATTGAACGGTCAGGATTTTGAGTCTTTTGAGATCCCAAGGAGTGAGGAGTACTAGATTTATATTACCAAACTGAAACTGAAACTGAAACTAGAACATCCAAACTATGCCCTTTACTTTGTCTCTCTTCGCTTATAACTTCATCCACAACAACTCAAAGTGATAGCTCAGAATCTCCAACCGTTATTGATTTCAGCTTCCTCATTTAAAGACACTTCATTTCCATTTCTTTTTTGGCCTCATCCCTTTATCAATTTGTTTTAGTTATTGTATTTTATTAAAAAAATATATAAACACTGTTCTTATCTAAAAAATAAAAAATACTAATTTTATCCTAATGTAACTTACACAATCGCTGATGCCATTAGTAGGAGTAAAAGACTTTTTTTCATCCAAATAATGGTTTTATAACACTTTTTCACTCATAGACTTTTAAAATACAATTTTATTATCCAAATTTAAATTATGTTTTCAATTTTGACATCGTTGTAACCTCATACCACCATCATTCTCTTCCATGATCATCACTCATTAAAACCCCTCAAACTCTACTCTCGTCGACCCTACCAATCGTCGACAATTGAACGATTAAGGTTTGTGCAACTGTCCCTCCTAAGTCAAATTTCAATCAATCCCAACAGCCAAAATCCAACATTCCACCACCAAAAGTCTCAACGGCCTCCCATCTTCAAAAGCCCTAACAACCTTGACCGAGTTTGCTCTATGTTCACCTTCAAAATATAAATTTGGATAACAAAATAATATTTTAAAAGTCTGTGAGTGGAAATGTATCATTAAGCTATTATTTGGGTGGAAAAAAAAAAGTTAACTCCATTAATAATGTAAAAAAAAAAATTGTTAATCTATTACCATTTAGTGGCCTTTCCTAAGAGTATACTTGGGGGGTTCAAAGGATATTAAATATTGTGACCTGTCTTTTCTAAAAAATGTTTGGTACAAATTTAAGATCTCATTGGCATAATTTCAATAATGGCAACTAACTGCAGCTTGACCCTCACAATGTGCCAACTCTTCAATTTTTTATTGATAATGGTCTCCCAAAAAATTAGCACCTCAACTGTGCTATAGTTTACGTTTCACCAATCGCCTTTTATTGTAACTGTTCCTCTGATTATGAAATCAAATTCAATGTGGAATTGTTTATAAAGTAAATTCTCATAAAATTGCTGTGTTGTTTCCTTTGACGTTCAAGTCAAGCCAGATTTGTAATCATCCTCTTGTCTAATGCGGCAACAATTAGTCTAAAATCTTTTTATTTCTCTTTATTCTATTGTCTACGGTGCAATGCATCTTCCTTGGTTGGTTTCACTTTTGTTTTTCTAGGGAACGAGGAGGACCCATTTCATTGATAGGTTGAACCCAAATAAATTAACAAGTAAATACCACGACAAGGGAAAGAAAATGTCTTAAAACATGGAAATCAAGCATTGGCAACATTATTACCTCTAGATAGTTTGACTGTTCGTTTGAGATTTTTGAGTGTATTATTCAAGAAATCTCGAGTTTTAATCTCCACGATTATTAATAAGGAGTAATCGTTGAAAACTTATCTGATCGTTAACTTTAGAATGTTAAGAGATTAGTCGAGGTAAATATAAAGTGGATCAAACACTTTGGATAGCAAAAAAACAAAAAATAACGAAAGTCCTGACAACATGTGTTTCCCAAAAGCTTGAAAAGAAAGGGATTATATTATATGGGTTGGTTGGTTCTACAGTCAGCCGACGTGTTACCAGTGCTAGGGCTTTGTCTTGGTTCGTTGGATTCAAGATGACCTAAAGGCGAATAGTTATTAGCTTGTTTTACTGTTTTCAGCGATTATCTCTGAAATTGACCAAAGATGTGGCCAACCAATTTAAAAGATATCACCATTACTGAAAGGATTGACTTTGAATATAAATATTATCATTATACTAACGATCAACGCGTTTTTTTCTGGTCAATCTCTACACGAAAGTGCTGCATCACTAGAAAGCAGCAATACGCTTTTTTTACTTTGTTTTGTTAATTCAATTTCTTCAAAACATTCTTATCCAATTTAATCTTCCACAGAAGCGCAAAAAGAAGTCTCCTATCAAATAAAAAAAACACGCTAATCCCTGGAGCTAGTCAAAACAAGACTACCTGACATAGCTTAGCTGGTCACCGAAAGTATCGAGATGGAGAGTTCATGAGTCAATCCAACCACAAAACTTCGTCTTTCTAGCACTAATTGTTACGGCGACTTCAAGTGTACAGTTAAAAGACAAAGGCACCACCAACAAAATTTGGGTTGTGCAATTATTCAGTGGGGAATGAAAGGGGATTAAAACTTTAAGTTATCACACTAGTTCACTTCAAATTCGATGTAGAGGAGTACTACACCAAACATTAATCAACAAGAACCCAAAGAAAGAGAAAAAAAGAAAAAGGAAAGAACACATCAAAACCTTTCCCACTGATACTTCAGTTCAGTATACACGAAAAAAGGGGAATCATCTCCTTTTTCCCTATCCCACCTGTACAAAACCCTTGACAAGTGTTGTTCAAATGCCTTATACATGTCAAATTACTGGGTATTATTTTATCTTCCTTTATTAAAGTAATTCTAAGTGACACTTTTGGGACCCTAGCAAGAGTTCTGGTTTGGGCAACTCAAAACTGACAAAAAAGATTCCACTGGGAGTGCTACAATTTGCTCATGTACATTTCAATATTTCATTCCACAAAAGAATGTACAAAGAAATTCGGAGGACAAAATATCCTATTTTTAAATAAAAGAAGTTTTCTTGCATGACACTCGTTAACTAAGTTGTGGCCCTACTGAGGTACCAGTAGGGAATTTCTCAATGAGCCACTAACAGATGCCTTAGTCATATCTTGTCTTCGTATCCCAAGTGCCTTGGCCAAAGATCTCTTCAATAATGTTGCATGTAGGCAGGAGATCAACACCTTTTATCGGACTTGGATACCTTCCATCCCAAACTTTAGCATCACAGGAATCCAATAAATTTACATGACCAACCAGATCATTACACTCGTCAAGTTTACCATGCAAACTTTTACAAAGGTCAGTCTTTGCTCCACTTAAATGCAAGGCATGTACAGCATCAAGTGGACCACAAGAATCGACCATGTCATACTCAAAAGACGTACACGAGTCATCTTGAACACTAAGACTGTCACCAGCTCTCCCTGTACTTGTATCTACATGTGGAACTACAGAATCAACCCCATCCCCATTCGATGACATTTCCATGCATGACTGAGATAGATAATCTAACCCATAATCTTCTTCAGTTGCATCAGCACCAAAATTTCCGACATCTCCATCACTGTCATCACCATCATCATCATCTTCATCAGAACAATCCTCTTCAGAGTCTGCTAGCTCATCTTCAGCAACAGGAGACACAATGGCAGAGTCTTCATCTTCTCCTGAAACTTGAACATCATACTGATCCCCATGATTTCCATGCCACTCATCATCATCGCTATCGATAGCCAGAGAGTAACTTCTATTCTGAGTAGCCCGCCTCCGGAGCATGAAGACATTGAAATAATAACTGACTATTTCTTTTTTGGTTCTGGAAGGGAACACTGCTGACAAGTGCTTCCAAAAATTCCTACCTAATGATGCAGGATTAGAATAAACAGCATCATGAAAGGCCTGTTCCTCTTCTTCAGTCCATTTCCAGGACACCACCTCTCCCATGTCACATAAACCCAACTTAACAAATTTTTCATGCCCAAGGGATTTCAAAAGCTTTTCCCGTGCTTCCATGATATGCTGTTGTACACATCTGACAGAGCCCTCGTCCAGGCAGTCGCAGTCCATACTGCCGTCTCCAACCTTGTCAGTGTTCTGTGCAGACGAATTTGAGTCAGGCATCGGAATAACACAAGTCCCCATCAGCTTCTCTTCATAGTCATTGTCAACATTGTTGTCTAATCCCAGATAATTTGAGGAACTGTCATTCATTGTGGCTTTACAATCTGATATGTTCTTGTTTGTGTAGGGGTCCCAAGATGGAAGGCTGGCCTGATGATTTGGTCCAAGAGGAACTTGTTTTTTGGGGGAGCGGTCCAAGACAGAAGAATAGGAATTATCAAATGGAACAAATATTCTCCGTGGGAAGTCATATCCAAAATGTTCTAGCGAAAGAGATGCATAAGATGTTGACTTGGACCCAACATCTTCCTCACTGGAACTGCTGGTGAATTCATTAACAACAGTTTCACTTTCAGATTCCCTTTGCCATCCATGTTGATAAAATCCATCCCCATATTCACCTGGTTCAAACAAAAATACTATTAGTTCAAGTAAAATTTCAACATTTAAAAAGGTTAGCACTTATATTTCAACCATCGTCTTACCCGAAAAAACAGTTTCACTTATATTACAAGGAACTTGTTGATATTGAGTCAGCTTATTGTTAACATCAAGCTGTCTTGAATGTTTACAAGGTAGCTCCTGGAATTCTTCATCATCAAAAGGCCGCTTAAATCCCATGTCTTTAACCTTAAGCTGCAATATAATCACTTAAGAGTCAAGCCACAATGTCTACGATACTGAACTACAGACAACGGTACACGCAGTAGTTCTAACAAGCATTGTTGGTAATATCACATTCCCAGTCTCTGTTCCTTTTTATTTTTTTTTTATAAGAAAAGGTTAAATCATTTACACTAAGAATTCCAAAATTACAAAAACGTGATTAAATGTTATAAAGCATGAAAATGAAAACCAAAGTAAGGGAGTATTGCCACATTCATTGTAGACTGTAGTTCAAATAAATCACTATTCATCAAAAGAATTCAAAACATGCATTACCTCGATGGGTATTGCTTACTGTCAAACACTCCGAAAAGGCATAAATAAATTGTAGGCAGTAAATAAACAAGTACACTTACTGGTAAGTAAAACTTGATAATCTAGTAACATAAAGAATAATAAAAAAAAAAAAAAAAGCTTAGGAAAATGATATTCACAGTAATTTAAATCAATTTTCAATTTTCTATGAAATAAGCTTAATAATAAAAACTCAAATTAATAGAAAAAGATTATACCTCAACAGATATGTCGAGATCAAATTTCAGACGACTTGAGACCCTTAAAGGCTTAGTTTAGACGAAATCAGACGGAATAATACCCTAGAGAAGCTTAATTTGACGTGAATTTACGTTTCCCCAATTGACATATAAAAATACAAAGAAACCCTATTTTATAGAAACCCTAATTTTTTCTACAGAAACCTAACCCTAGAGTCCCAATTTACGGTCAAAAAGACAAATTAACGACACAAAAAAACACGAACCAGTTTCGAATCGATCAAAGGAACCAAACCCCTCTCGAAATTTACAGATTTGAAACACCCTAACGAACCGAAAAATTCGAAACCTAGAACGGAATCAGATCGAGACTTATCTACAAAATTAGAATCGGATGAGGGAGAAATATTAACATAGATCGATAATAGAATTTAAAAACACGAGAGATCGAGAGATTAAGGGTCTCAATTGAGGAGATCGAAACCCTAACCCTAGGATTGTGTAAAATCAACGACTGGGGTTAAAAGAGATACCTACAGATAGAGAATTATGCGAATTGAAAGAAAATATTCGTCGATTTGAAGATTAAAGCAAAAACTTCTATGAAAAACAGAGATCGATTTTGGGGAAGATTGGACGAAACAATGAGTCGATGAGAGAAAAGGGCATACGGTTCGTGCTTTTTGTAAAGCAAGCGGTCTGAAAACAAAACCGGGTTAATTTTGAATACCGAAATTCTCGTTTAGTTTGAGCTGGATTCTGTACTCCTATTTAAGACAAACCGGCCCGGGCTTAAGTGAAATTCCTATAAGGTCCCTACTTCAGTATTTTGTGTTATTTATGCTCGGGATTCGCATAAAGCTGCCCATTTTAATTTTTGTTGTAGAAAATTCATTACCCAAATGATTTTTTTTTCCTACATTTAGCAGAGTAATTTTTTTTAATTTAAATTTCGAACCAAAATTAGAAAAGAATATTCTTTTTAAATTAAAAATTCAGAGTGGGTGTATTTTTAAACTTGTAAAATATAATTATAACACCCATTATTCAATTTTTTTTTAAGACTAAAGTAGTAATTGGGTTTCTTTATTTTAAGTAGATTTTTTTCCGAGTGTTAATCTAATCTAATATTAATATACATATGTATATAAAATCAAGGTGTTCAAAGTCGAATCCAACTTAAATATACCAATATTAAATCCAATAATTTGATAGATTAAATTGATTTTATACGTAAAATAATTATAGAGCACTTATCTTCCTTTAATAAAGATAGTTTTTAATCTGCTAAATATTTTTATTGGGTATGTTAACATTATAAATATTTAATTCGTGCTTCACAAAAAATAAAAATTGAGAATTTAAATTATTATTGTTATGATTTTAGTTCATTATAAAATCAATTATTCAATTTGAAATGTCATTAAAATCTGGTTAAATTTATTAATTTACAATTAACAATGTATGTTAAGTGTATATATACTCCATCAAATGATTTCTTCCAATTAAAAAATTTGCGCTGTAAATGAAAGCTGTATTCCAACTTCCAAGTGGGAAGAAAATTTTATTCGTGAAAAAGTATTTGTTTATTTATTTTTCTCTAAAACAAAGTAAAGTTTTACCAACTACATGAGACTTTTCTATTTACATAAATACCAACATGAGAAATTAATGTTCTTTCTTTTTCACAGCTACCCTGCCAATAACTTAATCAAAACTCTCTTAATCTTAATTCAGTAGAGAATAGTCCATCCTTTGCCAAATAAATTAATTCATCAGCCAGCAATACTGTCAGGCATAAGGTAGAGAAACTGGTACTAACATTCGATAAAATACTGTTTTATTACATTAAATCAAGTAAACAATAATAAATTCGGATATTCTACTAACAGTACCTGACACCAATGAGTCTGGAACCAAAGACAATATGTAAAGTAAGAAACAAGTATTATAATACTATTATATATTACCCGAATGGGAAACAAAACACAAAATTATACGATGATGCTTTTATCTTTCAAGTATCTCTATTCTACCTCAACCCTGCAAATATTCTCCTTGTATAATGCCCTTTTGAGACTTCTTTTTCTCGTTTATGCCATAGCAGGCATGTCCTTGAGCCATGCATCCAGTGGCTTACCAATGGAGTAAACTATGAACCCAATTTGCCTCAGCTTCTCCATATCCACAACATTCCGACCATCAAACACAAATGCTGGCTTCTGCATGTTGTCATAAATCCTCTTGTAATCAAGGTTTCTGAACTCATCCCACTCAGTGAGTATGCAAATCCCATGAGAATCCTTTGTTGCCTCATAAGCATCCCAAGTAACTTTAACTTGCTTGACAGCAGAAGGGCTCATTGGCTGAAGATGAATGGGATGGTCCCATTCATACTTGTTCATTGATAGATCCCTCATTATCTGTTCCTCAGGAACCTGAGGGTCGTATATGCTCAACATTGCCTTGTCACCCAACAGCCCTTTGCAGACATCAATGGCAGGGGTCTCTCTAGTGTCACCAGTGTCCTTTTTGAAAGCAAATCCTAGAATGGCAATCTTCTTGCCTGAAACTGTGTTGAACATTGAGGAAACCAGACGATTCACAAACCGGGTCTTCTGATAGTCATTCACCTTAATGACCTGTTTCCAGTAATTTGCAACCTCAGGAAGGCCATTGCACTCGCAAATATAGATCAAGTTCAAGATATCCTTCTGGAAACAAGATCCACCAAAACCTACGCTGGCATTCAAGAACTTGGGCCCAATTCTTGAATCCATACCAACAGCATGTGACACTTGGGAGACATCTGCACCAGTTGCCTCACAAAGTGCAGACATGGCATTGACAGAAGAAATCCTCTGTGCCAAAAAGGCATTAGCAGCAAGCTTTGAGAGCTCAGCAGACCACAGATTGGTGCATATAATCCTGTCCACAGGAACCCAATGAGCATAAACATCTTTCAGAGCTTGAATTGCCTTTTTACCTTCTGGGGTTTCCCTCCCACCGATGAGGACTCTGTCAGGGTTATAAAGGTCACTAATGGCAGTTCCCTCAGCAAGGAATTCTGGGTTGGACAAAATTTGGAAATTAATCCCTTTGGCATTGTGCGTCAAAATCTTTTCTATAGCCTCAGCTGTTTTCACAGGGACTGTTGATTTCTCAACAACAATTTTATCAGATTTGGACACATCAGCAATCATACGTGCTGCACTCTCCCAATAGGTCAAATCGGCAGCCTTGCCAGCGCCAAGCCCTTGAGTTTTGGTGGGGGTGTTAACAGAAACGAAAATTATATCAGCCTCGGAAACATGTTTCTCCACATCAGTACTAAAGAAGAGATTATTCCCTCTGCACTTTTTGACAACCTCTTCAAGGCCTGGCTCATAGATAGGAAGTTGATCACTATTCCAAGCCTGGATTCGTGACACGGAGATATCAACAACAGCTACTGAAATGTTTGGGCACTTCAGAGCAATCACAGCCATGGTCGGCCCACCCACATATCCAGCTCCAATGCAACAGATCTTTACCATTTTTTATAATCTATAAAATACAAATACAAACAAAGTTATAATTTTAGTATACACAATCAAAACAAAAACAAAAACTAATACGAAAGAACAACAAAATTCTGATCAAACATTCAGCAAATGAATCATCTTGTTTCTGTCATAAAATTGAATTACGTTTAAATATTCAAAAACGACAGTTAATTACCGAAGGATGATTTATACACTTAAATTTCGTTTGAATATTCTAGTGTTTGTGTTAAATTGTTAATGTTAAAGAGAGAGATCAGATCTGGGAACATTAAAATAAACCGATCAAGATCTCCAAACAAAAAGAAATGGAAATCTGTGAAAATGAAATGAAAAGCATTCCCATTTTATAAACAAGCAAATTGGAGCATCGCCACCTTCTAAAATTACAATTCAAACAAACAACAGATATGCGCTTATTAACACACCAATGGCATATAAAATAAAATCACGACAAACAAAAAAGGAAAAAAGAATTGACCTGAAAGCAAAAACACGCAGAAGAAAGAAAGAGATCAAGGTACCTTGTTCTGCGTGAGATTTAGATCTAAATAGATGAATGCTTATAGAGGAAATGAGATGTAGGTGGCGAAGAATGAGGAGATCTAAAGGCTGTGATTTGTATTTATACCCATTAAGTCCCCATAATTAAAGGATGTTTTAAGCTTCTAACACGTTGCATTCTCTCCATTAACCTTTAATTTTATTCTTCTTTTTGTTTAGTTTTCAGATGAGCCACCGACACAAAACTTAGATTCGAGGGACTCACCCTTCACTTTTGTCTTGTTCTTGTATACATATTTATTTAATTGAAAAAGGACTTTTTACCAACCCAAGGTTGCATTAATGACATTTTCCACCTAAAAAATTTCAAAATATCACTTTTCCACCCAAAGTTAATATTTCATTATTACCCAAAACAAATTCTTTTTGTCACCACCATTTAAACCTTTGGTTTCCTCTCTACAAAACATCTCTCACTCTGTTACCTGATTTCTTGTCGATTGTTGACTATCGTAAAGTTAGAGTTTCTTATTCTTAGCTGATTTACGACTAATTCCGACAATGAATATTCAATCGATTACCACCATTTAATCCACCGGTCTCCACTATACAAATCCCCTCTTATCTTGGCTCCTGGTAACTCATCAAAGGTCAATTGAGAAAATAAAGTATATTTTGGATATTAATTGTATATAAGTTTTTGGTGAAAAAGTTGTATTTTAAAACTTTTTGGGTGAGAAAATGTCCTTTACTCTTATTTAATTTTATTTGAAAGTGGGACCGTAACATTCTTCTGAATCTCCTTAGATATATTTTTAAGAGTAAACTTTTCCCTCCCAAGGTTTGGCAAATCTATGTTCCCACCCCTAGTTTCATAAATTGCAGATTTATGCCCTTAAATTAACAGAAAACTGTTTAATCTAACAATTGAAAAGGTAAAATGGTCATTTCAAAGATGAAAATTTTAAAATAACCCTTCATTTCTCAAATCACCCCACCAAAAAATTTCAAAATAAACCTTCACTTCTCAAATTCACCCCACCAGCAATTTCAGGCCATTCCGACCTGTTTCCAGCACAATCGACCCCTCCCGACACCACCATTACAATCCCCTCAACCCCCATACCAAAACCCCTAACCTCCCTGCCTAATTGAACCCCCCAATCGTCGGTTGTCGCGTTTAGTGTCAATCGGCGTTTCATCCAAATTTTAGCAGGTTTCAGCACCGAAAACCATCCCCAAGACCACCAATAGCATCGCTGGCTTCCCCCCACCAAAACCCCCAACATCATCAACGACAATCGCCCGCCGATCGTCGCCGCCTCTCCCTTAGGTTTTCGCGTTTTGTCATGCCTTTCCAGCCAAATTCTGGCACCTCACCGAAGTGCAATCGGGTGGAAAAGTTACGGGTTTTGGTGAGAAGGATAAGGGGATGCTAATGGTGGTGTCGGGGAGGTCCAATGGTGTCAAAAATCAGGCCGGATTTTTGGCTTGGTCGGGATCTCCTCTAGGGGTTATTTGAGAGAAATTTGAGATATGGGATTATTTTAAGAGAAAAATAACAGTGTTAATTTAAGGGTGGAAATCTGTAATTTATGAAACCAAGAGTGGGAGACTGTAGATTAGCCAAACCTTGGGTGGGAAAATGTCGGTTTACTCTATTTTTAATAATATAGATTGAAAGTAGTATAAATTTCTGAAATGTACGAATTAAAAAATAAGATTGAAATATTATTATTATTATTATTATCATCATTTTTATTTTTTTAATTAAAAGATAGAATGATAAATTAAAAAACGGATGTTTCATATTCCTTCGTTGTAAATATGAATATAAGGAGAAAGCTTTAGAAGGCAGTAACAGTGAGGAAACAGTTGGGTGGGGGCCAAAACGACACAGAATTTGAGTAATATTTAAGTCATAGAATTATTTATTGAATAATAAATCACAATGGCAGTTAGACAATTGAATATGAGCTGATGAAATATGTTGGTAAGCGTGAGATGAGATGAACCAGAATAATTATAGAGGTGAAACAAATGGTCGGGTTAGACGAGTTAATCCTAACCTGACCCGCATCAACTCAGGTTCAACCTAGCCTATGTAAACCCCGTCGAGTGGTTGAGCCTTCATAGGCCAACCTGACAAATTATGGTTTAAAAAAAAAAAACCATCCAACCCACGGGTTGGACAAAAAAATTAAATTAATTCTTTTTTTGGGTAAAAACTCATTTTACCCTTAAAATATAGTGGTTTTATAGTAATTGAATGAGTCCTTTAGGTCATTTTCTTTTCCCATTTTTTTTTTTTTTTTTATAAATAGAGCCTAAATTCTCATATTTCCTCACATCCCAAATTCTCTCATTTTATTTATTGAAATCTCTCAATCTCTTTGTTGTCAATTTGCTCTCATTTTAATTTTTATTAGTTTTTGCAATTTTCAATTCATATTTCCAAATTCCAATTCTTCTTCTTTAATTCTTTAATTCTTTGTTAGGGCCAAAAATCGTCCTTGGCCCAAATAGGAGAACGGGACTAAATGAGGAAGAGACCAGGCCCAATCCCGATGCGGCCCAATCCGGATTAGACCTATTTGATACGAGATACAGTCGGCCCAAACCATCGAGTCTAGGCCTCCAAATCCCAGTTCACTTCCTGGACCTATGAGCAAGTCTAGAGCCCACGGGACCCACAGATCACTTTCCTATTCCAGATCAGTCTCCTATCCGATGTCACCTTCCTGTTCAGGTCACTTTCCTACTCGAGGTTACTTTCCTGTTCGGGATCACCTTCCTATTCGAACACTGGTAAGACAACTCACCACCGCCCTAATTTCTCTAGGGTTTGTATCAGAGTCACACTAGGACTCCTACTTCCACCAGGATTGGGAGACCAGACAGTCACTATATAAGCAGAGGTCAGCCCTCTCAAAAAAGACATTACATTGCACCTTCACACCCGAAGCTCCTACTTGAGAGCTTCACATCACTGTCGTAGTCACAGTCCCCGACTAGACTTCCAGTAACGTCTTTACTCTCTAGCCCTCACTATACTAGCCTCTTTCAGCCTTGTTGACTTGAGCGTCGGAGTGCCTACGGCAAACACCACCCTGGTGTTTTCCGTTCGCTTCACGCTTGTTTCTCTACGTGTGCAGGTGCAGCGGATCGCTAGTGGCCTCAACCTCACGGGATCAGATCCCCCTTTCGTACAGGTAGATTTTTACGTCTACATTCTTCTATATCCATTTTTTTTTTTTAAAACTAGAATGGATAGATATTTCCATTCCATCAATTTCGATAATGAAGAAAATTATCCTAGTCCTCCTGAATTTGTAGGAGATTGTGTGTGTATTGAGAAGTTTTTATATATTTATTGTGTTTTGCTAGTGATTTTCTTGTTTTCCACCATTTCCAAGCTTTCCCCCACAGCCTCCCTACCTTGACGCACACCACCTGCTCGACCATTTGCCCCAACTAAAATCCAAGCCTTTCCAGACATCACCACCCCACCTGTTCGACATTTTTCCCCTAGCCAGCCTTCTCCCAGCCTTCTATCACTACACACAAGGCTAGGTGTTGGGATGGTGCTGAAGTGTGTGCCCGGGCATGCGCACATTGCTTGGCATTGGGAAGCAGCCAAAAATCTGGCTGTTTTAAATGGCTAGGGTCACAAAATGCGACTTCATAAAATGCGTTTCTTTTTTTTTTTTTTTTTTTTTTGCAAAAACTCATTTTATGAAGAAAATGTAGCAGTTGAATGGGTCCTTTTGGTCATTTTCTTTTCCCATTTTTTTTCTATAAATAGAGCCTAAACTCTCATATTTCCTCACATCCCAAATTCTCTCATACTCTCATTTTATCTATTGAAATCTCTCAATCTCTTTGTTGTCAATTTGCTCTCATTTTAATTTTTATTAGTTTTTGTAATTTTCAATTCATATTTCCAAATTCCAATTCTCCTTCTTTAATTCTTTAATTCTTCTATATCAATTTTTTTTAAACTATAATGGATAGATATTTCCATCCCGTCAATTTCGATAATGAAGAAAATTATCCTAGTCCCCCTGAATCCTGAAGAAAATAATGCAGTAAATTCAAATAGTCCCACTTTCTCATTCTCAGAATTCGATACTATTACCCCCTTCCTCCCCATGTTGATGCTGCTACAGCTCCTGGTGGTTCTAGAAGTCCTCCTCGTAATCGTCGTCCTCGTCCAACTCCATCTCAAGCAGAAGCGGGTTCATCAACTGCAGTCGGAACCAACGACAAGCACACATCAGACGTTTGGGTGCATTTTGATAAGTTTTACGAGACAGAAAATAGAGTTCAAGTGAAGAAAGCAAGATGCAAGTATTGTGGAAATATTTATAAAGCTGATGCAGGTAATGGTACTAATACTTTAAAAAGGCATGCTAGTAAACATATGAATCAACAAAGAAATAAAGAAACCAATCAAACTCAAATAACTAATATGGGCACTACTTGGCGTTATAATTCTGATGTATATAAAGAACAATTAGCTTTATATATTGCTGCAATTGATCAACCTATTAATATGGCTGAAGATAAATATTTTGAAAATTTTATTAAAAAATCATTTTTTCCATGATTTAAAAATTATTCTAAAACTACAACTAGAGATGATTTAATAAAATTGTTTGGGAAAATGAAATTAAAATTAAAAAATAAAATACATAGTTGTCATGTCAGTGTAACTCTAACCGCCGATATTTGGAGTGGTAGAACTAAACAAGATTATATTTGTGTGATTAGTCATTATTTTGATAACGAATGTAAATTAAATAAATCTTTATTGAAATTTAGATTAATGTATGTAGATCATAGTGTTCAACAAATTTATAATAAAATTGTTGAAGTTTTAGAAGATTATGATATTGTTCACAAAGTGATAAGTTTAACTTTAGATAATGCAAGTGCTAACAGTAGAACTATAGATTTTTTTAAAAAGTAATTTTTCTTTTATGACAATTTGAAGTTTTTTCACCAACGTTGTGCATGTCACATTATTAATTTAATTGTGAAAAGTGATATGAAAAAAATTAAAAATAATATTGATAGAATTAGAGATTCTTTAGCTTGGATTACTAATAGTAATAAAAGAAATGTTAAATTTCAAGATACTTGTATAAAATCAAATATGTCTCCT